AAAAAGAAAAGAAAAAGAAAGAGTTAAGGAAGAAAGAAAGGAGAAGAGAATTAAGTAAGGAAAGAACCAAACAAGGAGACGAGTTAAAGGATATACTTACTGAGCATTTTTATGCTCACCTCGTTGTTATTCCATGTTTTTGCAGGAAATAGATGAGCAGCGGTCGGAAAGACGTCGACAAGCGGAGAGGATTGGCATTACTATCCATCGTTGCTAAGTTTTTGTATTTAATGTTTTGATATATGTAAAGAATTATATTTTGTAGGTAAAGAAAAATTTGGGCCCAACCAGTTTCCTTATACTATTTATGTATGTTTTTATTGTATATGTTCTAAAGTATACTAGTAGAAAGAAGTCATTACAACTCTCGATTCAAATATATGCAACCCAACACGAGTTGCATGTCTAATAAAGTGAAAAATATCATTTATCTTTGTCCCTCACTTTTTAGAACCTTTTTATATGTGTCATAACATCCTTAAGTGGTCCTAGAGGGATACTTTTCCCGATTTGCTTTGCGGTCCAAACCAAAAGAATGAAAACTTTCCTTATTTGGACAAACATGCTTCAGTCCCTTGTTGGCTGACCTGACACTATATTGTTGAGCAAGAAATCATTCATTATATAACACTTCTAGCTTGCTTGTATGAATTAGAACCTTTTTGAATATTTTGTTTCAATATACTCTAATTTCTTAGCGTATTTCTTCTTTTAAGGTTCAAGGTTCATTTCCATATTTGTGCCAAAAACCTCACCATATCAAACACGTTATTGATGGATCTTGGAGCATGGTTCATTTGCTGATGCTGGTGCATGGCGTCAGTGGTTGAAGCTTGGTGGTTCACGAGCTATTCACAGGTGTGTTTCAGGCGTGAAGAAGGTCCAAGGAGTTGCTACATGTTAAGGATTCAGAGTGTGGTGCTAAGTGTAAAGTTGAACAGAGAGTTCTTTTTATTATAACTTAGATTAGCTTTGAACTATATCTTGTAATATATTTTTAATTTTGTGATGATGTGGCTTCTCATTTGCCACGGTGGAAGTCAGCCTTATTGTTTGAAGTCAAACAAGTGGTGCGACATCATTTTGGTTAAGCCCATATGCTTATTGTATTTCAACTATGACACTTTTTAGCAGCATCTACTTCTTTCCTTTCTGTTTTGTTCGACAGCTCGTGACCTAAGAGAAACTTCCAGATTGCTCTTCATCTTATAGTTATGGAGAAATTGAAGACGGTTGGAGGATGATCAAGGAAGACCTCATGTGTATTTAACACCAATTGATGTTGAAGAAAAAGGCAAACCTTATATTGGGAAAACCTAGGGTTTTCAGATTAGGTGTGTTCTTTCCTTTCTCTGTAAAGTTTTTTCTTCTAATCTATTCATCATGTTGTACTCCTTGTTTATCAATGAGAATGCTCTATTGTGAGCCTTGGAAAGTGGATGTAGGCTGCAAAGCAAAACCACTATAATTGTTATACGTTGTGTCCTCTTTGTTATTGTTCTTTATTTGCTCATAGTCTTTTAATTGATTGATTTGTTATCTGTTAATCTAGAGTTAGGGAGTAAACCCTAGAAACCTAATAGATTGGTATCAGAGCCAAGTTGAAGGTTCAGTTAGGGTTACACTGGCTTGCTCATGTCTAAAATCATATTTTGGGTTTTCATAACTGTTTACTTTTCTATTACTGTGGTTTTTCGAATCTGTGAGAAAAACATGTCAACTAAGTTTGAGCCTGAAAAGTTTACAGTTGAAAATATTTTTGGATTATGGAAAATGAAGATGGAAGTAGTGCTGATTAAGGAGGGTTTGGCTTTAGCTCTGAAGGGGGAAGCAGAGTTACCTGGCACCTTAACTGCTACAAAACAACAAGATATGCTGAACAAGGCCAAAAGCTCACTGATCCTCGGCTTGGGTGATAAAGTACTTCGAGAAGTCAAGAAGGAAAAAACTGCTATCGAGATCTGAAGCAGGTGAGATTCTCTTTACCAGTCGAAGACTGTTCCTAATAGATTATTTCTAAAATAGAGTCTATTTGGGTTTAAGATGGCTCAACAAAAATCACTAAAAGATAATAAGGATGACTTTCTTAAGATTATACAAGATTTAGAAAACATCTCAGTTGAAATTGATGATGAGGATCAAGCTGTGATCCTGTTAAACTCTTTACCCAAAACTTATTCAAATTTTGTAGAAACCTTTAAATGTGGTAGACAGACTCTGAAGTTAGAAGAAGTTGTAGAGGCTATCTCAGCTAAGGACATTGAAAATAGGATCAGAGAAAAAAATGTGAGTGATGGTGAGTGTCTTGTAGTCATAGGAAGATCTAAGAAGAAGAACTGGAAAAAAGGGGGACAGAATATACATAGGTCAAAATCTAAAACTGGGAAATGGAAGTGTTTTTTTTTTGTCATAAGGAAGGTCACCTTAGGAGAGATTTCCCTAAGAGGAAGAAGAAGAAGAACTATGAGAATGAGGGTGAGGGAGGTAGTACAAAGGTAGTATCAGAGGGTTATGAGAGTTTAGAGGTCTTAGTTATTTTAGAAGGCAAGACTAGTGATGAATGGATTTTAGACACTGGCTACACCTATCATATTACACCTAATAGGGAGTGGTTTAGCTCATTTCAACCTTTAGATGGTAGGAAAGTGATGATGGGGAACAATGTTCTCTGTCATATTAAAGGAATAGGATCTGTTAAGTTGAATCTCCATAATGGATTAACTAAGACCCTTACTGGTGTTAGATATATCCCTAACCTCAAAAGAAACCTTATCTCTCTTGGGACATTAGACTCTATAGGTCTAAGTTATAAGGTTGCTAATAGGAGTCTCAGTGTTTTGAAAGGTTCTTTGATAGTTATGAAGGTTGAAAAGAAGAATGATCTGTATGTGTTGAAAGGTACAACTTATAGTGGAGTGGCTACTATTGGGTCAACTGAGGAGCTAGATAAAACCACCTTATGGCACCAAAGACTTGCCCACGTTAGTGAAAGAGGTCTAGGAGAACTTAGTAAGCAAAACTTACTATATGGGGATAAAACAGGAAACCTGACATTCTGTGAGCATTGTATATTTGGAAAAATGAGCAGAGTGAAATTTGGGACTGGACAACACTACTCAAACTCACCACTTGAGTATGTACATTCTAATGTATGGAGCCCATCTAGGCATTATTCACTTGGAGGGTGTAAGTACTTTATCAACCTTGTAGATGACTGCTCTAGGTATGTTTGGATTTATTTCCTCAAAACCAAGGATGAAGCTTTTCCTAGATTTAGGGAATGGAAAACCATGGTTGAAAATCAAACTGGAAAGAAATTAAAAAAGTTGAGAATTGACAATGGTTTAGAATTTGTCAATGAAGAATTCAATAATTATTGTAGAGTTCATGGGATAGTTGGACATAAGACAGTGAGACATAACAGAATGGTCTTTGTGAAAGGATGAATAGAACCATTCTAGAAAAGGTAAGAAGCATTCTGTCATGGTCTAAACTTTCGGTTAAGTTTTGGGTAGAAGCAGCCCATACTATAGTCAATTTGATAAATAGAACACCTTCTTCAGCTATAGGTTTTAGGGTTCCACTTGAAAAATGGATTGGTCATTCCATAAACCTGGAAAATCTTAGAGTTTTTGGGTGTCTTGCTTATGTTCATGTTAAGGAGGACAAATTAAAACCTAGAGCCATTAAATGCATCTTCTTAGGATATCTAGATGGGATTAAAGGTTATGAGTTCTGGAACTTAAAATCTAAAAAATGTATTGTAAGTAGAGATGTTGTTTTTAGAGAGGATATTCTACCTGGTTTATAAGGTAAAACTGATATATCAGAGGGCTTCCATGCAGGATCAGTTCACTTAGAACTAGAAGTTCAGGATTCCAGTTTTAGTCCAGGTCTGAATCGAGGTGGAGTTGAGGACTTAAATGCTCATGAGAATGAACCAAATGCTGGTCATGAAGTAAGACAGGAGGCACCAGTTGAAGACATATTAAACTTGACAGACTATCAATTATCAAGGGATAAAACTAGAAGAAAAATCAGACCTCCTAATAGATTAGGTTATGCAGACCTAGTTGCTTATACATTTCAGGTGGAGGAAGAGATGAATGATGAGCCTAAGACCTTCCAAGAAGCAGTTTCAGGTCTCGAAAAATTAGAATGGAAGAGAGCAATTGAAGAAGAATTTGATTCTCTGATAAAGAATAACACCTGGATTTTGGTTAATAAACCAAAAGATTGTAGAGTGGTCAAATGCAAATGGATTTTCAAAAGAAAACCAAGATTAACATCTCAGGAAGCACCTAGGTACAAGGCTGGGTTAGTTGCAAAAGGATTTACACAAGTAGAAGGGATTGATTACAATGAAATTTTTTCTCTAGGGGTCAAGCATACATCTATCAAAGTGCTACTCTCACTTGTAGTTCAATCCAATCTGGAATTAGAACAACTCGGTGTGAAGACAGCCTTCTTGCATGGGGATTTGGAAGAAAGCATATTAATGGAACAACCTGAAGGATACAACAGTGCTATAGGTAAAGTTTGTCTATTAAAAAACTCATTATATGGTTTAAAACAATCACCACGACACAACGGTGGTATAAGAAATTTGATTCTTTTATGATTGAAATTGGTTTTGTTAGATGCAATTTTGATAGCTTATTTTATTTTAAAAGAATCACTGATCTGACTCAAATTTTTTTACTGTTGTATGTGGATGATATGCTTGTGGCATGCCATGATAAAACTAAGTTGCTTCGGCTGAAGAAGTTACTTAAAACCAAGTTTGAAATGAAAGAGTTGGGACAGGCTCAAAAAATTCTTAGTATTTCTATTATCAGAAATAGAGCTCTTGGAAGCCTAAAGTTAGTCCAGTAGGATTATGTTGAGAAAATCTTGCAAAAGTTCAACATGCAAGATGCAAAGACTGTCCAAACTCCCCTTGGAGCCCATCTGAAGCTTTCACATGAGCAAAGTCCATAGACTGAAAAAGAAAATCTGGGATGGCAAAAATTCCTTATGCAAGTGCACTAGGGAGCTTGATGTACTTGATGGCGTGTTCAAGACCAGACTTGGGTTTTGTTGTAAGTCTTGTAAGCAAGTTTATGAGCAATCCAGGAAAGTCTCAGTGGATGGCTCTGAAGTGGATTATGAAATATTTGAATGGAACTAGATCAATAGGCATTGTTTTTAAGAAAAATCAGAGTGATAATGATTATGTTGAGGGTTTTTCTAATGCAAACTATGCAAGTGATGTGGATAGGAGGAAGTCAACCTCTGGATTTGTCTTCACTTTGTGGGGAAATACTATTAGTTGGAAATTCAAGCTGCAACATATGGTTACTTTGTCTTCAACAGAGTCAGAGTATGTAGCATTAATAGAGGCAACAAAGGAAGCTACCTGGTTGAAAGGTCTTGTAAATGAGTTGGGTATTGAGCAACAAACAGTGAAGATAAATAGAAACAGCCAGAGTGCAATCCATCTATGTAAAAACCAAGTGTTCCACAAAAGAACGAAACACATAGATGTTCGCCTTCATTTCATTAGGGAAATGATTGAAAAAGGGGAAATCGAGATTGAAAAAGTTGATGGTTCACACAACCCTGCTGATATGTTCACTAAACTAGTCCTATTTGAAAAACACAGGCTCTGTATAAGCCTTCTTCAAGTTCAAGAGTGAACATATGAATTCCAAGGCCACATGGGGTGACAAATCAAGAAGCCAAGGCAAAGAATTGTGATGATGTGGCTTCTTGTTTGCCACGATGGAAGTCAACCTTATTGTTTGGAGTCAAACAAGTGGTGCGATGTCATTTTAAGCCCACATGCTTATTTTATTTCAACTATCTTACTTTTCAGTAGCATCTACTTCTTTCCTCTCTGTTTAGTTTCACAGCTCATGACCCAAGAGAAACTTCCAGATTGCTCTTCATCTTACGGTTATGGAGAAATCAAAGACAAGTGGAGGATGATCAAGGAAGATCTCATGTGTATTTAACACCAATTGATGCTGAAGAAAAAGGCAGACCTTATATTGGGAAAACCTAAGGTTTTTGGATTGGATGTGTTCTTTCCTTTCTCTGTAAAGCTTTTTCTTCTGATCTATTCATCTTATTGTACTGCTTGTTTGTCAATGAGAATGCCCTACTGTGAGCCTTGGAAAGTGGAGGTAGGCTGCAGAGCTGAACCACTATAATTGATGTGCCTTGTATCCTCTTTTTTATTGTTCTTTATTTGATCATTGTCTTTTAAATGATTGATTTGTTATCAGTTAATCTAGAGTTAGAAAGTAAACCCTTTAACAAACTTAGTGGATCGCTTCAATCTGGACAAGGTCCCATGGATGTAGGCTAAAAGTGGATTTAGTCAAACCATGTATATAACTGTGTTCTTTATTTTCCGCACTTTTGTTTGATGTGTTCAAATTGGAATTGTTTAATCTATTTGGTAAATATCCGCTGCACTTAAAATGGGTAACCACATTTTCTAACGTGAGTTAAATCTCCAACTCTCTCCCCAACACAGTTTATTTTTTATATGTAAATTCATATTTTATAGTGAATGAAATCATTTACATGTGTGTTTGAAGTGTATTTATACTTCATAATTTTCACATTTTAGAGAGAATACATGTGAATATTTCCCTACCGAAATTAAAGAATAGATATTTAATGTTACTAAGAAAAAAGGGAATTCTTGCCTTAAATTCATCCAGTTGACGTGGTGAGCTTAAAAGTCTTAAGTTAATGATAAGATGAACTCTACATTTCTTCAATGTCCTCACAAAATGATGGTGATATAACACAACACTTTTTTTTTTTTTTTTAAGATTACGAAATCCCATGAATAATGTAGAAAATATAATACCTAAATATGAATATATCAATACTATTCGACAATTGAAGTATTATGCATAAAAAAGTAGGGCTGACACACAACTCAGTCAGCATAAAAAGTCAGAGCTTAGATAGACCTGTAGCCGTGCAGACACAACCACATGAGTAGCATGCTTCTGTCAGCGCAGTGGGTGTGTGCCAGACTAGCCAGGAGTTGGAGAGGTTCCACGTGTCCAATTCCTGCACCAAATCGCACAAATCGCTATAGAAGGTGGGCAATGGGACATAAAGAAGGATTTGCACGGATAATCTCACCAAATCATAGATTTATTAATCATTACCTTAAACCATCACACTATAAATTGAGAGCTCCTCTCTCACTTTAGGGGATTAGCTAATCTCTCTCTAAAATAGCATATACGCTCTCCCACTTGTAATCACTTGTAACATCAGCTCGCTAATCGCGACCTGACCACCATTATTAATACAATAACAGTGGACATAGGATTCGCTTGTTAAGCATCCGAACCACTTTAAAACATTGTTCTCCATTTCTTTCACTCTCATTCACGTGTGTCTTCTGGGCCCACTCAGCATTTCACACGTGCGTTTGGTTGGTGTCAAAATCGTGCATCAACAGGAAGGTAAGCCAATTAAACAAATTACTTGATTTATATACATATCATGTGTTTGACGTGGTTCATACAAGAACAGCACCTTCAACTTTAATCAACAATTGTAAATAATAATACTCTAGACTCCCACTTATTTTGTAAGAGATGTCTCAGCTGTAAAAGTAGATTCCAAAATGTAGTGCTTGTTGATGTAATTTTTTTATGAATTTTTCATCACATAATTGTCTGTACGCCTAAGCTTATTAGCTATTAACGAATTCGAACCAAACCAACTCTACATTTATGAGTTTCATATAAGTCATCGAAATGACAGAAGAAACATCAAATTAATGTTCTTTTCATTTAGGTGAAAGATTAAAATATGGAATAATTCTATTCCGTTTTACAATCTTAGCTATAATTTTCTCAACCGTTTTACAAAGGTTTCATAGTTTGGTTCAGAATAGCTTTTTCAAACGTTCTATAATTTGGTTCAGAATCTGGGGCATAGACAGACGAGTCTCACAAAACTTAAATATAAATTAGCATCGGAGATGTATTAATAGTATTATATTTTTTTTTATAATAATTCTAAAATGTTTTACACAAACAAAAAGAAAAAAAAAAAAAAAAAATTGTATACCAAAATCCATATTGTTGATACATGAAAATAATTGCATTCAACACATGATATGATCTAGCTCAATTACAGGACAAATATCATATTCTACTCCTTGATTGATGGGATCCTTCTATTACTCCTAAAATCATGTAATTAGTTATTTCTTTACATATTATATTCTTTTCTGTATAAATTGAAGTATTATGAACAAGTAAAACATACAAGTGAAATATACAGTTCATCTCAAAGCTTTCTTCTCTCTCTCTCTTGGCATACTTCGGCAACTTAATTGCCTCTCTTGCCTCCTCCTAACACGGTATCAAAACAGGTTTCATAACCAAGCTTCTGCCTTCTGTCCTCTCAAAATGTTCTATCATTGCGTACATCCTCCCAAGCCTCTAGTTTGCTCCACTTGCACAAAAAATAGGCACCTTGATTAGTGCAATACCAGCCCTCCAAACAATATCCAAATGGCTCCCTCAACGAACCAATCAAACCCAACAACCAACCAATCATGCTCACAATTGCAAACTACAAGTGAGCCCACTCAAACCGGCCCACAACCTACTCCTCAATGAGCAACTCATCAATTAGGCTCACAATCCAACCCTCAACCCATAACTCATCAATTAGGCCTACAACCCAATTCCCAACCAATTCCTCACCCAGACCCAAATATTGGGTCAGGCCCAAATACCTATTTCGGGTTTACAAGCCTATGGTCTAAACAACAGCCCCACACATGCCCTTTCCATATCATTCCAACCACTCAATGACGGTTGGAACCAGATGACATTTTATTTTTTTCACCGTCGAATGGACCAGAACTTTTCCTAGTCAAGCAAGCTCTCACGAATCGAAAAACTATGCTATTTGGGTTCACGATTTCTATCAGGCCCTCATCACAAAGGATAAAGACGGTTTTATTGATGGAACTATGCCACTGCCTGACAAGCCACATCTAAAAAAATAGTGGATCAAATGCAATTCATTGGTTCAGTCGTGGATCAACAACTCCCTAACCCAAAATGTTGCCTTTGGACTACCACCAAGAGAGATCGCCGAAGAGATGTGGCCCAACATCAAAGAAATGTATGGCCAACTCAATTTAGCCAAGCTTTTCACACTTCGGCAAAATCTTGCTGAAATCAAGCAACAAAACCCAATCAATGAAATTTTATTTCAATCGATTGTTGGCAATCTAGAATGAACTAGATGTCATTGAAGAACCCTTAAACGGGTCATTTGAAACTTTGCAACAATTCTAGGGAATCAAAGAACGGCGGCGATCTAAAATGAACTAGACGTCATTGAAGAACCCTTAAACAGGTCATCTGAAACTTTGCAACCATTCTAGGGAATCAAAGAATAGGATCGAGTCATTCATTTTTTGATGGGATTAAACAAGAGCTTCCCTCCATTCCAAACTCAAATGCTCAGCAAAACCTCGCTACCAACACTCTGCCATCTCTATCAACTAGTCATTCAAGATGAGCATTAACAGTTGGCATTCCACTTCTTTGCAGCCGTAAGATCTAGTCTTGAGAACCCTTTAGAGAACTTGAAAAGTGAAAGGGTTGATGGGTAGCTAGGGTTATTTGGAAATGAGAAAAGTGGTCTTTTATATAATCCTTTCAATGGCCCAGATCATGTCAATCAATGTAACAGTTAGCAACAGGTCAACCAATTAATCTCATCCAACGGTTTTCAACATGGGCAATTTCAAAATGGATCCAACGGCTATGGATAAGCCAGATCAGGTAAAGGAAAGTTGTACTGTGATTACGGTAAATGGCGTAATCATAACCATGAGAATTACTGGAAATTACATGGTTGTCCTAAGGACAAATCTGGAAATTCCACAACAAATCATGTGACCACAAATCCAAATCTGGGAAATGAATCACAAGTGCTAGGGGTGAGCACGGGTAGCGGGTAGAACCAGAACCGGGGGTAAGAACCGGAACCGGAACCGGAACCTACCCAGAACCTGCACTGTGCGGGTAGGTTCCGGTTCCAATTTTTTTGAACCCCTACTGTGCAGTTTCGGTTCCGGTTCTTGCATGTGGAGCAACCGGAACCGGAACCTGTAAAAAGGGTACCCTGTTTGAAACCTGTAGGGGTACCCGGTTTGGAACCTGTTTTGGAACCTGTTTGGAACCTGTTTTGGAACCTGTTTGGAACCTGTTTTGGAACCTATTTGGAACTTGCTTTGGAACCTGTTTTGGAACCTGTTTTTGGAACCTGTTTAGAACCTATTTTGGAACCTGGACTATAATGAAATATTTGTGAAATGTAAATAATGGGGGAGTTTCTATTATTTTACATATAAAAAAATTTAAAATAGAAAAAAGTTAAATTTTTAAAATAACCTAATTAAATAAATATACAAATACAATTATACTTATTACATATAAATTACACCATATTAAAAGCTTTAATATATTATAATACATTAATAATAAAGTTTTGATCAATTAAGTGAATAATTGGAATTATGATCCAATTAAAAGTGTTTTACATTTTTAATGTTATTAAAAGAATTATTTTTGAATAAAATAGTATATTTGATTGAGTAATAATATATTTAGTTATTTACTTCAATTAT